TATTAAAATTATTTTATTAATATTTTAAAAAATAATAATTTCTTAACCTTCTTTGTATGAAAAATCATAAATAATTTTACAATGAAGTCTGTTTATTCTCTTCCAGACTATTTATAGAGCAAAGTAATATCATCTTCAATAACTTGGAGTAATTAGAAGTTATAGTATATATTTAAAAAAATATATAATAATAAATAATGTATAAAATGTATTATTTGACTTTGAAATAAATAGCAACTTCAATAAAGTTTGATGTAATAAAATGTACATAAATATGTCTTCCTTCTTAAATATATAACCTTAATAAATTTAAAAGTTTTCTTTATTATTAAAGAGTCGAATGTTGTAAAAATTTATAATAAAAATATTCATAAGTGATTCGAGTTAAATTTTTTAAAAAATATTATTAAAATATACGTCTAATATTTGGGTGAAAATTCTTATGTGTAGAATAGATCAAAGGTCATTTAAAAGCCTTTTTTTTTGTTTAACTTTATTAGTTAAATTTTTTATACAAAATAGCTGGCATTCTTTATTTATTTCCATCTCTAATTTAAGTCTGCAGATTTGTTAAGGGGGTGGGCCATAACTCCCGAATTAATAGTCCGATTTTCTTGAAAATTTCTAAAAACATTTCCTCCTAATACATCAACTACCCTGCAAAATTTCAGAAATTTTCGGCAAAAGGCACGGGAGTTATTAAGCTTCAAAGTGGATAAAAAATTCGTATCCCCACGCAGACATCCATACATACAGAAACCCCCCAAACTTTTTTTTGAATTTCTCCACGTTTCAAAGTCCACCGAGTCTAAATTTTTAAATGAATTATATACAGTATATATAATAAATAAAAATAATGTCTTTCATGCAATCCCTCTTTGGCTCTTCGTCTTCAGTGTTCTTTGATACACCTTGTATATGTTTATCAGTGACGTAGCTGGATGGAATTCGGTGATCTGAACCTTTACATATTCAATTAATAATAATAATAATAAAATTAAATCTGTGCGTGTATGTTTTATTGACATACAGAAAGAAATCTGTTATAAAAAGAAAATTAATACAGTTAATTTGTATGAGTACTTTATGACATGTTCAAATACTTTAATCCTTAGCTTGAAGTAAATTCTGGTTACCCACTGATAATATATTTACAGGGTGGTCCAATAGTCAGTTAACCATTGTAAAGACTAAATCGGTGCCCCCATTCGAATATTATATCGCCTACAAATATTTAATAAAAACTACTCAAAATTAATTCCTCCCTGTTCTATACACGAATTAGGAGGTTTTAAGACTCTTTTATAAGTGCTTAAATGAATCAGCATCGAAATAAAAGAAGGTTAACTGACTTTTGGGCCTCCCTATAACAAATGACTTGTAATTTTTATAAGTATTATTCTTATTTTATTAAAAAATTATTATTATTTTTAATGACATAAATACAACCGAAATTATATGAAATAATTATTAATTTTTTTTTACAGTATATAATTACATAATTTTTTTTTTAAATTAATTAATTAATAACACGCGATTTTTATACATTAACAATGAAATTTAATTTTTAAATTTAAAATTTCCATTTGGATATATATTATTAATTAATATATTTTTATCTTGTTTAAAGTCTTTTCGGTGCATATTATTTATTTATTAATTTAATAAATTAATTTTGGCGAGTTTATTATTACTTTTTTTTTTTTAATCCTGGTGATTTTTGTGTAAATAATGTCGACATTATTGTTAACAAATTTAACAGTTAACATTCTGTTTATATTCTACGTTGGAGATTTTGAAAAGGAATAATGTCGGCAATGTCGTTAGATCAATCATAATGAATGATAATATAACGATCGAAATTTTTCGTGAATAACGCTATTTGGAATTAATTTTTATAATTTATTCCGAAGTATTAATGAATATTTTAACAATAAATCCTATAAATGGAATTGTTAAGTGTTCTAAGAGAGCATTTTTCTTCTGTTAACGAAGCATATTCACTAGGAGGAAAAAAAAAGTTCCGACTTGTACTTTTATCATCTATTAATGCAGTTTTATCTTCATTTTATCAAAATGTTTCGGAATTTTTACACTTTTCTGATGATTAGAGCGTGCTTTTATTCTATTTTCTTTAGTTTAATAAGGTTATTACGTTGATTGAAAGACATTTTTATCACTTCTCCGATTTCAGAAACAATTTCCTCAATGCTCCCTAATTTGTAAATAGTCTTATTTTTTCTCGAAAATAGAAATATTTTACTTGAAATTTTCAATAGAAAAACATCTTCATTACTATTTTATTCAATTTCCGAATTACTAAATCCAAGTTTATTCGAGAAACGGGTAAAGGCACATTAGCCATGGATGCAAAAACTCACATGTTTAAACCAAGTTCGCTTATGGTCTTATTAAATTCTCGGTAATATTCGGTAGAAGAATGGTTTCCGTTAATTTTCTCATTGAGTAATTCCGATTCGTCTTCATCCTTTTTACTTTTATTGTTTATCAGATTTCGTTTGTCAATTTCTTTATCTTCTAAATTTGGTGTCAGGCATCTTAATTCGTCCATCACATAATCTTGAGAGTTCTGACTTTTGGTGTCATTCAAATTAGCTACAGCTTCTGGTCTGGACCCGTTATCTTCATTGTGTAATCCCGTTTGAAGCTTTTCTTTGAACGCATCTTCGCCATTTGTATAAGAATATGGAGGAGGAGCAATGACACCGCTTCCTGTTTCTTGTACAGTTCTTGTGACCACTTCCGATTCTACGGGATATAACTGTTTATCATTGTGGGTAGGATGAATGGTGTTAGCTGTGTTGTTAAATCGCGTTTTTTTATAAAATGCCATGAAAAAAGCTTTGCAATAGATGAGTCTTAGGAGGAGGAATATGATGCCAATGGCTATAAGTGAAGGTCCGATACCCATGACCGTAATTTCTAGTTCCAGAAGGTTGAAGGTAGTGTTAACACCGATCAAAGTTATAGTCAAGCCGAATATGAAGAGGATCAATCCTATAACAATAAGCACATCCGGGCCAAAGGGAGCACGTGGAGGATTCACGTTGTTGGACATAATCACGCCGCTTTCTTCGTCGGATTTCGGAGATTTATCCATTCTCGAAGCCGGTCCCCAATGTACTGTACGAGATTTAGCTGATTTTCCGTTTGGATGGACGATTTCTTTTTCCATTTTCATTCATAATCAGTTTTATATTAATCGAACTCCGCCCGAGAACCTGCACGATAAAAATTAAATCCGTCATAACTCAATTAGAATTTTTTAAGAAACACGAAACGCGAGGATTAATTTAAATTTCGCATGCCGCATTTAACATCACTCTGAGCTAATTCGGGTATAAAATTAAATTTTTCCCTGGCTATCAATTCAGAACTGTTATAAAATTACAAAGTTTCAGTTTAACGCTACTTACCGCCAGCCGCATCGGGTCAAGGTCGACAATTTGGTAAGTTTAATGAGAAGAGAAGATGCTTTCGTGTACCGATGCCATTTTGCCAAATCCAATGTCGTGCAACTTTCATACGAGTTTGGGCTTTTTCCCATTCTCATTAGCACAGGAATGGCTATTTAACTGTATCCGATAGCGACGAATGTTTTGAAACGGATTCCGATGTAAAACTTTTATGAGTTTTAATTATTTATCGAGGACAATACGTAGAAGAAGATGGGAAAGGGAATTTTCTTGTTTGTTTNATATAATTATGTTATTTGGCTTTAATTTAGATACATGGTTCAAAAGTCAGTTAACCGTGTTCTGTGTGTTGTCGAGTTTAGAACAGTGTACTTTTCTTTTACAGGATTGGTAGAGAAGTCATGGAAAGTATGATTTAGTAATTTGAATTTTTATCGTGGTTAACTGACTTTTGTGCATTAATTTTTTTTAATAAAAAGAAAGTTAATGCATGAAATTATTTTATGGAAGTATTACACAAATAGCCTTCTATTGAATTTTCTGTATGAGTTGATTGTATAGAATTGTTTACGAAAGATAAATTACGAGTGAAAAAAATACAAAGTTATCAGTTTTTTAATCATAAAACGATATAATAATGGATGTTTATTCATTATAAAACTAATTTATTGGATATCATATAACAATTCTTTACATTATTTTTATTATTAATTTGGCATTTTTTGTGCATATGACCACGTGTAAACTCCGTACACGTTTCATAATTGTGAACTATTAATTATAACTTCCATTAGTGAATTTTATATATTAAACTTGAATTTTAAGCTTGCTGCAAGTATTTAATATTAAATTATACGATCTTAAAGCTCTCCTCCTAACTAAATCGCAAAGATTTATAACAATTTTAATGTTATTTTTTTTAACGATAATTCTTATATTTTATAACTTTATAACAGGAATTTAGCTGTTTATAAAAGCCTAAATTATTGAAATTTTTCTAGGAATAATTATAATTCCGTTATATAAAAAATTAATGAAGAAAGTAGCAATAACAGCACGCAAATAATAATAATTTTATAAGCTTCTTATACATTTAAACGATTGAAGCGCCGATTTATCGACTAGATTTCTAATTATTCTTTAACTTTATAGCCATAATAAATTACTGTTTTTTTTTATTCACTCATAATTAAATGAAAATTTTCTTGGAACGGATATGATTTTTCCCTGTATAAAAATTTACTACAAAAGGTAGCAAAGTCAGGCAACACAGCAGGAAATAACTGTTGCGTTGGGAATGTCATTAGATTCAGAACATTACTGGAAAAGGTCGAATACCTTTCTTGACATTAAAGAATCGCAATTTAGTAAAAACCCAATTCGAATATAAATAAATAAAGATTAAAATTCGGATAAAATATACTCTTTTTTTTTATTATTGTAAGTAGAATTTATTGATACGTTACTTTAATAAACGTTTCCGTGTTTGTATGTCGAATTTTCTCAACGTTAAGAATCGATAACGTTACAAAAATATTTTTAGCGACAAATACCGAGAAAGAAATGAAGGAAAACCTATTATTAAGTAAGAAAAAATTATTTTTTTTAATATTAAAAAAAATATATTGCAATTAAATATTAAACACTTCGTTTATTTATATCATTAATTTTTAAAAAAGTCTCATTAATTAATAATTAGTAATTAACTAGTGTATATGTACAGTACTATAGGTAAACGTATTTAAATATATATAGGCCTATATGTATTACATAGACTGGTAACATATTTGAATGAAAATTAAGTTTTAAAATATTTATTCAATGCATTTAATCAATTGTTCTACTTTTAATAAAGAGTGTAAAGGTCCTAAATTTAGTTTAAATTAAAAAAAAAAAAAAAAGGATAGGTAGAAGCCAATTAATGTTAAACTATGCACCCGACAGATCGAGCACATGTTTATACTACGAGTGGCTTTATGTGTAATTATTTTTAATATAAAAATATCGAGTTAATGGAGTTAATGAGACGTTATTAATTGTGTAATTAAGGTTACATACCTGAAAATCTTTCGCCCTAAATCCGACATGTTACCTCCTTTATGTGGCAACGAGTGAAAAATCCTTTCAGCTCAGCTTGAAGCAGACAGCTGAGCTTAAACCATACTCAGCTATGTTTGTCCAATCGTTTCCAAGGTGATACGATACAGGTTGTCATTTATCACGTGACATCACTTTACGTGTCTTTATTTCTTCCAGTATATCGCATCTTGTTATAATGTGTACATTAAAAAAAGGGGGAAAGACCGCTGTATATCTCTAATGTAGTATCAATAGAGAAAAGCACATAGCGGAAAAGTATATAGGCATATATATATATATATATATAATCATACGTGCTGTGCTTAAAGAAAACTTGAAATTATTAATTATTCGGATCATGTATATAAATATATTATAATTAATTATAAAATTAATCATTTAAATAATTTATAAAATTTAAAAAAAAGAGAATTTTTTTTACTGTTATGAAGGAGGATAATGGGTGTGGTTGGTATAATAACCCTTAGTTGTATGAGAATTAATGGTTGTTATCGCGTATGGTATTCGACTGTTCCTTTTTAAAGTATTTTTAAAAAAAACATTTTAACGAATTTAATCGGTTTTTGTCAAGTGTTAAATTTATTATCTTCGGATATTATCCGTGTATCATCTTACAGAAAGTTGATATATGAGTTGATTTTTAAGGACGGTGCTGAATTAACTTTCCATATTTTACTTAATGAAAATCGTTGGTGGTGTCTTTGCACTCTGTTAAATTCCTAAAAGAATATTGTAATATTGTAATAATCAAGTTTATAAATATTATAAGAAAATTATATTAATTTTTTTTTTTAATATCATAACAGCAAACTGTTTTCTACTCCTTGAAACTAAGTTCTAAGGAGTATGAGTCAGTAGGAGTCATAATATTAATCTAATTTATAGCCTAATTAATTAAAATCTTATAAATTTATTCTATTAACAGAATAAATACATATTATCAGTATATTTATGTTAGTATTTTAGTAGATAAGATATAAACTTAAGAGGGTTTATAGATGCTATGTTTATAATAGTGTTGTATGTTTTAAGTAATTTAATGAATTATAACTTATAAAATCTTAATGTATCAAAACAATTAATAGAGAAAAATTAATTTGAAAGTCTAAAATAAAATATAAAACAGTTTTGTTAGTTAAGCATGCTTGGATGTGAAGTATATTTATGATATTCCAATGTAATTTATATACAATTTTCTTTATATTTATGCTAAATTGTATTTAAGATTTGTGAAAATTCCTTTATAAAGTTAAATATAATTATGTTATTTGGCTTTAATTTAGATACATGGTTCAAAAGTCAGTTAACCGTGTTCTGTGTGTTGTTGAGTTTAGAACAGTGTACTTTTCTTTTACAGGATTGGTAGAGAAGTCATGGAAAGTATGATTTAGTAATTTGAATTTTTATCGTGGTTAACTGACTTTTGTGCATTAATTTTTTTTAATAAAAAGAAAGTTAATGCATGAAATTATTTTATGGAAGTATTACACAAATAGCCTTCTATTGAATTTTCTGTATGAGTTGATTGTATAGAATTGTTTACGAAAGATAAATTACGAGTGAAAAAAATACAAAGTTATCAGTTTTTTAATCATAAAACGATATAATAATGGATGTTTATTCATTATAAAACTAATTTATTGGATATCATATAACAATTCTTTACAAAAATAATACAAAATTCGTTTGTAGAGAATATGTTTAAAATTGTTTTTCTTATTTTATAAAGTAATAATTCGATAAAAATTAATTTTAAAATAAAAATAAATAATTATTATTATAAATTCTGAAGAATTTTAATCTATAAATAAAGTTATATATATTTATAATGATTGTTATTTGACTTTGAATAGAAGCTTCCTTCCTTACAAGCATACGGAAGATAGAAAACAATCTTCCATATGTCTGTAAATGTAAATTACATATATTTAGTAGGATAGTTATTTTACTATCCTACTAAATATATGTAATTAAAATTATTATATAAACATTTCTCAACTAATTTTGCATATATTTTCATATTTTCTGACTTACCCTGTCTTCTGAGACTCTCTCTCCTCTTCTTCATCCCTTCACTCTCTTCTTTTTTTTTCAATTTCTATCCCTTTTAATAATAATGATTTTGATTAAACAGAACAACACGATTGAAATCTGTGCAGACTTTTATACCTTTAAACAATATTTTTAAAAGTAATTAACTGTAATTGAATTGTTTTTATCTTGTATAAAATACACTATATTTTATATATAATCATACATAATATATGATTTTTTCTATAAATTAAAATAAAATAAATAAGTGTTAAAAAGAGGCATTCACAGATACCAATTTGTATTATAAAAGTGCAAAAAAATACAGATTTTTCTACATTTTTTATTTTTTTACGGTTTGACTTTTCTCGCTTCAGGAAAAACTTGCCAGAATTCAACTGAGAAATTCTCAGAATGGTTATTATGTATTGACAGATAGAAAGATGACTTGGGGCCTTGACCGGTTACAAATATAGGGCCACACCCGGAGCTGAATTTAGTCTTTTTTTTTTTTTGTGGCTCTAAACAGTGACACATGCCCTTTCTTTTATCAAGACCATAAGCTTAATTTGTTTAGCTTATAAGCAAATATAGCGGTGACCTCGTTCCTCTTTGAAAGTCATAAATTATATGAATAAAAAAATCAATAAAACAAATAAGATTTTATTCTAATTTATATAATTTTTTTTTATCGTGTTTTTACATAAAAGAGTAACTATTGTGAAGTCACAGAGGGTACAGAGGTTTCCAGACTTAAATGAATTTAGAGTACACGTTACCCTCTGTATTGGGGCCTGAAAACAAATGGACCCTCTCTATCAGGGCCTGGATGTAGATTATAAAAGAATTGATAATTTTGATATACTTTAAGTAATGTAATCTTTAAGAAGAACGAAATAAAATCCTCGATATAACGCCATTTTATTAGTTATCAGCTGCTACTCTTCGGGATAAGATCTGGCAAAGTAGCTTGTTGGATTTAAATACAATTTAATTAAAAATTAGTGCTTAACATCTCGGATTAGGTTTATAAATCCATTTTGAATCGATTTTATATTGTTTTTGAAGTTATATATTTATTATTCTATTAAAGAGAAGCCAATTATCGATAGTTGTAAATCGCTGTTCCGAGTTATACACTATCGATCTTAATTTAATCCACTTTTGTCTGAGTTCGAATTCAAGTCTACATCAGCCGAATCTAATGATATCAATTTTTTTATATCGTGTCAAAAAATTGTATCAATAACTCGAAATTAATACAGAATTATTCATTATAAAATTCAGATTTTTTTTCAATTTTTTTCTACTTAAGAAGGCCCTTTTTAAATATCTATTACGAGTACTGTTAGGCCCAATATATGGATGAGACTTAAGGCCCTATATATTAAACCACCTAAGAAATTTGCTGACATTGGCTTGAAGACTTTTAAGAGTCACTGTATTGAAGGTATAAGGCAAAGCGACACTTGGGTGATCTGCCAAGAGGGGTATCGGTTCATGAGAAACTGGTTCCTATCTAAGTATTAGACACGCAAAGAAAGCTCGAAATGTGGCTAGTTCAATGGTGAGGCGCAAACCAGTGACTAACTACTGGGGTTTTTATCTACTGAGCCGCTAGTGGGCACGCATTAAGGCGGTCTTTTTTTCATGTCAATCATGGATTTAGCTGGCCCCACAAAGGAGAGGGGGCCAAATGATGAGGGAGAGACTTATTAAACCGTCCACAAAAGTTTCTGACGTTTCGGACTAGTCTGTTATTGTTGAGTGGATTTTTCTTCATGCCCATTGTTTGAAAAAAATCCTTTTTCTTCTCTTAATATTCGGGCTTGGCCCGTAATGGGGGATGTGGCCGAGTAGCGAAGGACTAAGCCCAAAATATTACACCACTTACAAAAATTTCTAAAGTTTCAGAATGGGCTGAGCATCCGGAATTTTAAAAAATTCACTTATAATGACATTGATTTATATGTAAACTTAAATGAACTTATAAAATTTTAATGATTTTTGAAATTATACTTAGATTTAGTTTTAAAAAATTCAGGAAATTTATTTCAGTGATTTTTTTTCCCTCTTTTTTTTTTCTTTGAGGTTTGTTTCTAAATGAGATTTTTGTGTTGTGTTTTGAATCGATAGTTTAAAGCAGTAAAAATTCAAAATGCTCTGAATATTTTATTATTAAAAACAAACGAATTAATTTCTTTTTATAAATATATTTAATAATTTAAAAGTATTTTCATATCGATAATGAGAGAAACTCCAGCGTTGAGGGAAAATTCCCTTTACAGTTAAAAATATCCCCCTTTTTTTTTAATAATGACGAAATAAGCAAAAATTAAGAGAATTATTAATAAAATAAATATTTAATTTCATAAAATTGATAATCCCTATTTAGGAAAATATCCCCTAAAGGGAAAAATGTATATTTAGGAAATGATTTATTTATTTATGAAATAGCTATATAAAAAAGAATTATTTATCTGAAAAATAATACCTATTTAGGAAGAAATAAATCTTAAAAGGAAAATTTAGAGTAATAGTCGATATTTAGGGAAAAATCCCCACAGAAAAAACTCAAAAAATCATCCAAAAAAATAAATAAAAATTCCATTTTATAAAATTGCCGATCGCTAAAGTAACTAATGATAAGAGAAAAATCCCTACTTAGGGAAAAATTTAAGGAAATATCTCTTCTAGGGAAAAACCACAGATTAAAAAAATTAGAAAATCATCAGAAAAATAACAATAAAATAAATAAATATTCTACTTATAAAGTAACTAACCTATATTTAAGAAAATAATCCCTAAACAAAAGTAATAGGGAAAAATCAGTATACGGAGGAAGAAAAATTCCTGAAACGTAAAAATTTTCATAAAGACAATTAAAAAAGCAGATTATCTCGTCTCGGATAGGGAAATTAATTAAAATCTTAAGGATCAAATAATAAAGTAAACCAAAAAGATAGTTTATTACACGCAGTAAATTGTGAAGATTATAAAAGATAATATAACAAATTTCAAAAGATAAAAGCTTTATTGCCAATATTGGCGTACGCCATTCAGGGTCGAGATTGTTGTTCAAATGTCAAGGATAGAAGCATCTTCTATATAATATTAAC